ACATTTTGTCTGGGAGATAAGCATATTTATCTCTATTTTATAGGTAAAATTGAGGTTTTAAGGCCTTAGGTTGTCCAGGTACAGTTTGATTCTGAGACCATTTAACTTTAAAGCCTACCCTTTTCCACTCAACAGCCTCTTCAGAGAACCCAGAAAAAAGCAAAAGAAAACACTTGGATAAACTCTCCAGAACCCTACATAAGAGGTCAACTAATTCACTTACTTTTCTGCTCAGGGACCTTCTCTGTCTTCTACGTAATAGGTGGAAGAAGGTTCAGAAATTAATGATGGATTTTGCATGTTGCAAAGGGGCCATGGCTGCAGTGGCAGTCTCCATGTCATCCTGGCATGGTCGTCCCTGTACAAAAGGACAAGTGCTAAGAATGCCCCCTACTTTTACAAAGCACTCTTCAAGCAAGGATCACAAAGCACAGCTTAATTAATAAAATCACCCACATCCTGTCTAGATGAGTAGCATTTTATATGTACAAATTCCTCTGCCCCCAGGCCCTCCAAGAGTAGGAGAATGTTTCCAATTTTAAAGAGTGAGCAATAGAGTAATTGAAAGGAGCTGTATCTTGGCCAACGAAAAAGACCTCAAAGGCATTTATAGTGACCTATATGAGAAAACATGGTGACCACAAAGTGTGTCATAATGGCTTGTAATCCATGCTCTGCTTAATGGTTCAAAGATAGGAAAGACAGGGCAAGAATAAAACATTCAGTTCTTAAGAGTCAGCTAACCCTGGGATTGATATTCTGATCTGTTTGGTCAACTCTCCAAAGGATCTAGAAGCAGTAAAGTGATGACATTAGCTGATGATTCAGTTACTTGGGTTAATCAAGGCAGAGGGGACAGACGGGGCCAATTAAGTAGCTGGACAACCCAATGATAGATGAATCATTATGGGCAAGTGCAAAGATAATGCCATTGGGAAAAGCAATTTAAGTCATTCATGCACTTCCAGGCCAGGAAATCCTTCTAGTCTTTGAGGGGGATCATTTAGGAATCATCAGACCCAGCCTGATGAAGTCATCTATTCACTGTGCAACTAACGATCAACAAAAGAGCTGAATGCACAAGGGGACAGACCATATGGAATACATTTTGGTGACTGGGATGTATATCTGTGCCTTCATTTCAATCACCTCTTTAAACAAGTCTTACTCTGTCCCTCTTTTCTTTTTCTTTCCTGTCCCCAGTCTGCCCCTATTCCTTATATTCTAATACACAGATTCAATGTACAGATGAAATTTTTTTTTAACGTAACGACAAATATTCTCATTCCTAATTTCTAGTTCTTTCCTTGACATGGGTTGGTCTCTGTACACATAACAAGTTTCCAAGGGATGCTTCAGCATGCTACAGAACAGGTTCTTTCAAGCACCAAGAAGCTGTGTCTATAAAATTTACACAAATTGTTCTACACCTCTCCAAATCACTTACTTGTATTCAAGTTTCAAATCTGGAACTTTGGGGGAAAAGGTTTATCTTTTTTTGAAAAAAAGAAGGTGGGTGGGAAGATAAAAGCATATATGAATTAAAGTAAATCATACTTGCAATTTCTTATTTTTTAAAGCCAAAGTCCAAATCAGGAACCTGAAGGTAAAGGTTATCAATGATGGCCATATTGATAAGTCCAATGGACACTACTTTATCTCTTGATTTATCTTCTACCCTCCTCCATTGCTGTTTACCTGCCTTTTAAGCTCATCACCCTCTTCCAAACCATTAAATGTTGGGTTCTTCAATCTCTGTCCATTTTTCTAGACAATCTACCCAGAGGTTCATTCTTGTAATGCCTGGTTCTCAACCACTGTGTCCTACAAACCATAGGACCATTGCACCTGTTCTGTTTCCTATGCCTGAAATGCTCTCCTCTGTTTGTTTGCCAGGCTAACATTTGTTCATCCTTCAGATATAAACGCACTTATTATGTATTGACTTCCCCAGACTTGGTCCAATCTAACATGGGTTCTCATAATACCAAAGAGTATTCTTTACAGCACTTAACAGAGTTGCAATTTTATATCCATTTATGATGATTTGATTGTCTATAAGTTCTTCCCTCTCCTATTTTTTTTTCCTATTTCTACTGACGAACTTTGCCCTGCCCACTTATCTTCTTCATGGGTTACCATAGCTTCTACTGACCAATAGCTTCCCTTGTCTTATAGATTCTGATAATAAGCTTTTTTTATTATGTCCTTAAATATCTAGTCTTACTACCAATTGTTGGTTCCCTCTAAATTTTTCATATTCACACTTTACCAGTAAGAGGATCTTATTGGTATAATTTATATTTATTATCTCTTTGGAAAAGTTCCTATGATAGACCCATTCATAGATCCTTGGCCAATATCCAAATGGACTGCCCTTAGGTCAAGGGTGACCTGCATCCATTAGCTGTTGCCAGCATGGTGGGGGTAAGAGGTCAGCTTTCCTAAGAAAGTACAAGCCAGATGCTTTTTTATCACAACCTGCTTGCTCAGAGCTGGCTGACTTGGGGAGGGAACTTCCTTGAGAACTGGAATTGGGTGAAGGATAATAACAGAAAACAAGCAGGGAAAATTGGAGCATTCAACATCCTTCCCCTTGGTTGGTGTTCCACTCAACTAAATTTCCATTCCCCAGCATATATTAACACATTTTAAATGTTACACAAATCAGTAGATCTGGGTCTGATGAGCAAAGAAAATTTCTGAAAAGATCTGAAATATTTGGGGAATGATAGAGCCTAATTAAAAAATATCTGATGTTTGTATTTAAAAAGTACCCTTTGGGGGGCTATCTACTTTTGGTTCACCCTTTTCAGGAGTAGCCCTTCAGGTCCCCAACTGAAAGTGAAGGGGATCTACCAGTCCTTCTCCATGGTACGCTCCAGACTCTAGTCCTTGATGTCCTATCCCATCCCTCACAACATGAGTCTGTCTAAAGCTTGCTCGGCCATCAACCTTTCCACTGCCTCTACTGAAAAAAAATTTGGTATAACAATGATGCTAACATCTGGCAGAGATGAATTTTATTGAACTTCAGGAGAAGAGATGACCACCACCCATTATCTAGGCAGACATTATTCACTGCTGCTGTTGGGCAGAGCACCATAATACAGGGGTTAACAATACATAATCTAGAACCCAATTACCTCAGCTTTAATTCTGATTCTGCTACCTACTAACTATATGAACTTGGGTAAGTTACTTGGCTCCTCCTCACATATAACATGAGATTACATCTATGTCAGTACAACTTTTAAAGAACTAAATAAATTATTAAATGTCAAGTGCTTGTAACAGTGGTCACATTACATATTTGTGAGCTACAATTATTGTGGTTGGTATTTTATTGTCCTTTAGAGGTAACCTCATCCAATTGGTGGCCACTTGAATTTCTCAGGACACATTCAATTATAGGTTTTAGAAATTCAGCTCAAAGTAGCTTAAATAAGAAAAAGAAATGTGTTGGTTCATACAACAGGGCATGAATAGACCCAAAAATTTCAATGATGCCATCAGGACTCTGGCTGACTTGTGTCTTGGCTTTCTTTGGGATCAACATCATTTTCAAGCAGATTTCCTCCATATGGTGACAAAGATGTAGCTTAAAACTTACCTAATTCTTATACCCCTTCCTCAGTAGATCTGAAAGACTCTGATAGGCCCAGGTTGTGTTCCATTATGAACCAATAATCAGGAAAATGAAGAATTCCTATTGGCCAGGGCTTGGTCACATGCTACCCTTGTAGCAAAATGGAAAGGCAGGGCAAACTCTACCTGAGCATCATGGTCCCCTGGAGGAAGGAGACGTCCACTGCTTAACCCATTGTCAAGGCACAGTCTAGGGCCATGCCTCTAAGAAGGAACTAGAGGATATGCTGACTAAATGGTTTACCCATTTTACATCTGGAGAACTACAGAGAACCGGGAATGATGTTCAGAATATTGAATAACTGGTAGAGTGACAGCTCTGATCAGTTTGAATGGACAGCTCACCAATCAGAACAGAGGTCAGCGGTAGCAGCACTTTCCTGTTGAGTAGCAACCTTGCATCAAATGCAAACATTGGACTGATTTCTAGGGGTGTTAAACACCCAGTCCTACCCTTCCATCCTTATTGAGGATTTACTGACTAGTTGTGGCTGATTTACTGACTTTCCTGATTAGAGGCAGGACTGCAGTAGGCAAATATATCCAGAACTACTTCAGAACCTCCCCACTGGTCACACTGAGGACAGAGGATAAACTTTTGAGGAAAAGCACTGGAGATGGACATGTGTACCTTGGCTTGACCTGTCTGGAGTCAAGACTGTCATTTTTTTCTGCTTGGATAAAGCAGAGGTTCCCCTCTTCCCTTCCCCCTATTACTCTACCACCACCAAATACCTCACAAAACAGTCCTGGTTTCAGCTGAATCTGTCTTGTCCAGGAATGTGCTACCCCTTCAAATTCAGGTTGGGTGATACGTTCTTTAATTAGAGACTTAGATGTGGAGAATTTAATGGGCCAGCTCAGTTTAGCTAAAAAGCCTCTACCAACAACTAGTGCAATGTGTGTGTGTGTGTGTGTGTGTGTGTGTGAGAGAGAGAGAGAGAGAGAGAGAAATTTCTTGTGTCACTCCTCTTGAGTTAATATTTTTAAAGCAGTTAGTACAGAGTCCATACACAATAGGTACCTAATGATAGTTCACCTCCTTCCTTCTTGCTGGAAACCTTCCCCACCACCCCACCCCACTGTGGTCTTGCAACCTAGCCTACCTTTAGTTGCTAGCAGTACCTGGCAGCACCACTGCCCCTAGATCCTGGCTTCCAGGCTCAGGGCAATTGCCAGGCATCAGTGCCCACACCTGCTCGCCAGGAGGCACACCCCCGCCCTGCTTCCACCTCCTCCCAGCTAACGCTGCAGGCTTGCAGCTAGACTTAGGAATGCTTGCCAAGCCAATCTGACCTTTGCTTCCCTCTTCTTGGTGGTAATTGATGGATTTCATGCCTGTCTCCTTTCAGGGTTAAAGAGAGTACAGCAACTTGCAAAAAACACAAGATACTTCAGACAGAGACTGAACGAAATGGGATTCATTATCTATGGCAATGAGGAATCTCCCGTTGTTCCCCTGCTCCTTTACATGCCTGGTAAAGTAGCGTGAGTATCCAACAGACTCTCAGAGTAACACCTAAGCCCCAAGGGGATCTGACTAAGATGGTGCTTTTCACACTGTGACGCTCTTGCAGAGTAGGCATTGGTCATGCACTTTGAACAGGGTGCCAAGTTCAGAATTCACTTTAGAGCTGCCCAGAAGCCATATGCCAGCCCATCAGCGGGTCTTTTCACAAGTAGTAAGGTCCACCATTCTCAAGCTCTGTGAATTTAGGGGAGTCACCCCTCCTAAGTCTCAACAGTAAATTAAGGATGATCCTGAACCTCCTCCTGCCCTAAGATCTTTCTCAGAGAAAACTCCTCATATTTCAAAACGTTACCAGGCTCTATGCTTTCTCCCATTGAACTCTTGCGGCCATCCTCAGAAGAAGGCAGCCTTACTTTAAGTGTGGAGAAACTGAGGCTGGGAGTAAACACCTTGCTCAATGTCATGCTTGTTAAGCAGTAATAAAACCAAGAGGCCAACCCAAACCTAGGTTTGCTCCAAAGCTCATGCTCTTAACACCAGATTTTAATGCCTCTCATGTGAGCTTATTTGGAGTTGTTTTCCAATGATTGACACTCTGAAATTGAGCATCAGTAGCAACTGCATAAAGAGAAAAAAATGACTATTTCTCAGTATGTCATAGACATTTTTATATGTGAGCCATTCTCCAACCTGCTGGAGACTAATTACCTCTGTTATTAAAAGAAAGTTAATTAAAATCCTTTCTAAATGCGAAATGCTTATTTGTGTGTCTGGCCAAGCCCATGGAAAGTAATATTCAACATACATTTATCAGATTCTAGAGGTCCTGACTCTCTTAAGATAAATCCATTGTTGGAACTTTCTGTTTGGCTCTCTAACAGTCTAAATAGATTGGCAGGGTATTGGAGGTACAGAAAAGAGATTCCAGGACTATTAGTTGAAACCTAATGAGGGGTAAGAGTGAGTTAATAGTTCCCAAAAGATTGATTCTTTGGAGCACACTTCTGTGTCATTTCACCACAGCAAAATCACACACAGTTAAAGCATATGTGGGTTGTTTAGTGTGCCACAGCTTTTCCACCTCTCAGCCTTTTGTTCAGATCTGGGTCAGGATAGCAATGCCTGGAGTGGCAAGAAGACAGTGTGCTACAGAAAGGTCACACAGGGCACTGCTCTGTGCTAATGGCAGGGAGGGGTGACAATGGTAATATAAAGTAGCAGATAATCTAAACCCCTTTACCATCTGATTTTGGAAGGCACAAAAAAAAACTATGTTTATTCAGAGTAGTTGGGGAAATGGTGTTTTCTGGAAGAAAGACTCCATATTTAGTTCATATCAATCTAATATTTTCTCATTAACTCAAATGAAGACACCAAATATCAGCTTACTTTATTTTTGAGAGTGTGATGTTTACAGCACTGGCAGGTGGCAGTAGGGGGTGTGCTGGCTGAGTAGTTCAGATTTGATGGTGAAGGTTGGAATTAAAATCTCAACGGGTTGAGAAATGGATTGACCCAATGAGAAGAGCCCATGAAGAGTGAAAACAAATGCATTTAAATTCAATAAGTCAACTGTATAATAACAGAATGAGAGTTTCCCTGCTCCTTTATGTGCCAGGAGTCCTGAATGGACAACAGCAAATGTGAAAAATAAAAATAGAACTGAGAAGGAAGCTTGATGTAAAAGTTCTGTTCTTCGGTGTAATGAGATATTTGGAATGAAAAAGAATTTTGACTCTGCCTCTTCCTAGCTGGGGAAATCTGGGACAAGTTACCCAACCTTCTGAAATGAGATATAATAGTACCTATTTCATAAGGCCACTGTGAAGATTAAACAAGATGAGGTCTATTGGAATTTGGCATTACTCTTACATAGAAGCTATTCAGTATTAGCTATTATTAATAGTATTAATAATATGTATAAAGCACTAAATATAGTGTTCAGTGTACTGTAAGCACTCAATCAGTGGTAGCCATTATTACTACTACTATTTCTAATTCTGCTACAATAATGATTATTACTAGTTTTAACTCAGTGCAAGATTGAGTTACCATGGTTGCATGGCTCTCCAAGATAATCATTGCAATCTTTAGTTACATTAATAAATATAGAACTTCTGGGGAAAATAGCAGTTGNGCAATCTTTAGTTACATTAATAAATATAGAACTTCTGGGGAAAATAGCAGTTGAGATTCTGTGGTACCCAGCATCAATTATGTTATATTGAACACTGGAAGATACGTCAAACTATCTAGTGCCTTCCAATTTAAGATGGATTTAATGAGGAGCTAATGTTGCTAAGTGCCCATTATGAGCTACATAAGGCTCTTAGACCCAGTGATCATCCGTTGAGGGTAGGATGCTTAGCCCTAGTTTACAAATGAGGACACCAAGACTCACAAAAGTCAAACTACTTTCTAAGTGCCACTCAGGTTGTAGGTAGTAGAGCATAGAATTCAAAGAGAGTCTCATTTGCCTCCTAAACCAGAGCTCTTTTCAGTGCACAGCACACCCTCTCAAGCTTTAGTCCTTAGGGGGAAATGCACATCAACTGCTACAATGGAAAAAACCTCTAATTGTTTGGGTTGTCTAAGCAAACTTAGAACAGGTTAGTTATCAAAGGTCATATCATCTACTGTTAGCAGGATTGCCGGCAAGAGCTTGCCCTGCCACCTGGCCTGATTTCTATCTCTGATATTTCTTCAGTGAAAAGTTTATATGTAGAGAAGCTTATAATACAGGAGTTAATTGTATAAGCCAGTGTATGAGCACTTCTTTCATTTGCTCATTTTTAAAACTTTCATTTCATTTAAAAACTGTAGAACGAAAATATAGATCTAGCCAGTTGAACTTTTGAAGAGAGTCCTCTTGCAACTCTACCACTGGAATCTTCTAAGGAGTTCAATATAATGTGACTTCACTCGTAAAACATACACTTAAGTAATCAAGAATGTATTGCATTTACTATTTGGTACAGGGCTTACGTTTCCTTTCATGGTCCTTGTCACATGCATGGAAGACGATGGGCTGCAAGATGCAGTGAGGCTGCCTGCAACACACGCTAATGTTTATTATTATTATTATTATTAGTTATTATTGCATAATTAGTTTCTTTCAGCCTATGCCAGCTCTGATTTCCTTTGGGGAGTACAAACCCAGAGGCTCATTATATAAAATGTTCAGGGCAATTATGTGCGTTAACTGGAAGAGGTGAAGTTTCATAGCGTAAGTTTTAAGCTCAAAAGTGCTCCAGGGAGGCCTCAGATCAGCCTAATGAATCAACAGTCATAGAGTTTGCTTTACATTCTCTGGCAAAACTCACTTCCTCTGGTACAAAGAGAAAGTCGCAGACAGTGAAAACGCTCCTTTGGGAGTCCGGACAACTGGCCTCAGATCATGGGTCAGGTGGTTTGTACTCCGGCAATAAAAGCACTTGACTTGTTTCTCAGACAATTATGAGCTCTCATCCTGTGCAGTTCCGTGGGCAGCCTTCCATAGGGTGATCAAGAAAGAAAGAACGGCCTCTGTTTGCAAGCTTCCTCTCCTTGTAGCCTTCCCAGTCCGAATCAAAGGGCCAGAGAGGCTGTGTGCTCGGTGGGTCTCACAGTCTCCATCGCTCCCCTTGATAACATGCATGAGGCCCCCGAAAGGCAGCCGGCTAAGGGGCGAGGGGAGCGAAGGGATGGGCAGGCTCGCTCCCACGTCCGGCTCGAGGGTTCTCCCTGAGTTAAGGCCGGAAGGTTTCTGCATCTGCCTCTTAATGCTAAGAGCAGAACAGAGGCATTTACCTCACTCAGTAATTAACGTTTCCTGCAGAGAACAAGAGAGCCCAGGAGGGAAAGATTCACTCGGGGCACGTCTTTTTGTCTGACCTTAGCTCTTGGCACAAGAAATTTACAGATTTTGGCAGCTTAATATTCTAGAATTGTTACTGAGATTAGCTCTGGAAGAGAAAGAGACTAGAAGCAGTTAAGGGGAAGAATCATAGCTTTAAAAGGGTTTTTTTTTCTCTGCATCAGAAAGCTTTGCAGTTTGGGGGCTTATGTCCTACACGCCACATCTAGCGGCCAGCTTCCCTGTGCGTGCACATTTCCTCCCGGGTTCCCTCCTGCCCCACTTCCCCTTTAACCAGTCAATGAATTTACTCTCCCTGGACATACCTGGGTGTGTTCATTCACACATGAAGAAATGAGGAGACCCTTGCTATTTCCTATCTCTGGTTTAATCAAAAATAATGGGCTCTGGAGTGGCTCAGAGGCCCCGTAATATATACACTCAGGTGCCATCAAGTGGCTGTCCCATTTCTTTGTGAATTGTGTTTGACAGATATTTAATAACTTCAATCATCTTCTAATTGGATTAAAAAAAAGGAAAGGTCAATTAGCCATATTCTTTTTTGCTGTATAATCTTGTCATCTCTCAGTTACCTCTTTTTTTTGTCTTTTCTTTAGGGCTTTTGCAAGGCATCTACTAAACAGAAAAATCGGGGTGGTGGTTGTTGGATTTCCAGCTACTCCTCTAGCTGAAGCTAGGGCCCGGTTCTGTGTTTCAGCAGCACATACCCGGGAGATGTTAGACACGGTGAGTACAGCACAGGCCAATGGAATCTCCAGTACAGTACCTTGGATTCTCAGCACTTTTTTTATTGAACTAGCTTACGGTTTCCTGAGTCTCTCTTGGTAGGTTTAGGAAAATAACACTAGCAGAACTCACTGGTAAAAAACAAGGGTATGCCAAACTGCCCAACAATGTGGTCAACTCAGTACACAGAAAAGGAAATCAGTTTAGCGAAGACTTGAGTCAAGTCAGTGCTTTGGTTTTATAGGAAAGACTGAGTGGCCAAATGTTGTGCTATTTACTAGTTCTAAATGCAAAAGCTAGTCTAACGTGCTATTTCAGCATCAACTGCCTGCATCATGGCATTTTTCATAGCCACCAAATTCATCCTAGTAACATATAACCCAACTAGGCAACATGCTGGAAAACCAATAACAAAGACCGATCTACCCTATCAGCCATTTACGTGAGGTACTGATCTAAAAACCACATTTCATTGTCTTTTGATTTAAATCCTTATGCAAATGAGTAGTATCAGAGAACTAAGCCATCTCAACCTGTTTGAAGTTGGTGGAACTTTCTTATAATGTCAATGCAATTTAGCAAACACTATTGAGTGTCCACTATATGAAAAATCCTGGAGCAAAAAGTCTAAGAGGAGATACTAATAAATAAGCAACTAATGACAATACTAGACAAGATAAATTAATCTTGGAAAGGAAGTATAGATGACTGCAGGAGCATGAAGGTGGAAATGAGTTATTATATATTAAATAATATATGTTCATTTCTTATATATGAATGAGTGATAGATGAGAGTGGGAATGACTTCTACAAAGGGGAAGTCCATAAGCCCCATTTTACCTTTTTCGGAGCATTAGGCCTTATATTGTCTTCCTCCTCATTTGACAAGGTAAGAAAAATAGGCTCAAAAGAGAGTAAAAAGCCATGTCCAATACCGTAGGATTCATGATATACTAAAAGTAAAAACTGCCTTTTGTATATTCTGGATCTTAGTTGTTTCATTTGTAAACCTGGGGATATATTTACCTGCCTGAATTAAGAAAACTGGAACAGATGAGTTCTTGGTCCCGTGTGGTTTTAAAGTATATTATTCTATGGAACACAGAGAAGTGTGTTTAAAACTGGGGGAGGGAGAGGTCGGGTGAAGGTGGGGGGTAAGCACGGGGGTAAAGGGGGGGGTACTAATTAGCTCCCACAGTGGCCCATTTTGCTCTTGGCCAGGTTGATTTGCTGTGTCATGAAGATATCATTCAAATGTAATCCACAACCTTATCTTTTCCTTCCACAAATTCATCTATAAATCATTAATCTTTAAAATAAAGCTGAAGGGTAAGCATGGGTCAGATGCTTTTCTTCTTTTCTTCATTCCACCAAAATAAGTGAAAGATTCATAATGTGGAGGCAGACTATGAAAGAATTTCACGTCAGTTCATTAGCACCTAACATTCCTCTAGGGATGCCTTCTGCGCCACACCTTAATGATCTGCATTTCTCTTCTTTTCTTTAAAACCAAAGAAGCTGGCAAAAGAAGAGGGTGGCTCTCTGTGAGGCGCTGGAGAGCAGAGCCCCCGGGGTTAAAGATAACTAACGGGCGCAATGTCTCTGCAGGTGCTGGCCGCCCTGGATGAGATGGGTGACCTCCTGCAACTGAAATACTCGCGGAACAGGAAGTCGGCGCGCCCCGAGCTCTACGACGAGACCAGCTTTGAACTCGACGACTAAGTCTCCAGGTCCTGGATGGAGCCTAAAGACTTTGCCAGAAAGATTATCCCTTTGCCTCAAAAAGAATATAAGTGGATTTCTCTCCCGTTCCAAGGACAGCTTGGATTTTGAACCCAGCTTCATTGAACTGGGGGAGAGAGATGTTGTTGGGTCCTTCGTGTCTCCAACTCAGGACTGCAGAGACAAATACAGTTTCAGATTTCAGTTTCTCTTCTTCCAAGTATCCTGCTACACACACACACACACACACACACACACACACACACACACACACTTCTCAGAATGTTTGTAATGGCAGTGAGCCTGTGTTTTAGCTGCTACTGTGCAGCCTCTTTGGTCCAGACCCTTTCAGGAATTCCAGCCAAATGAGAGGGTTTTGATTTTTAAGTCCGTAGATCTCACTGTGTGTTTACTTACCCCATCAGCAGACACGGGCCAGGGTGGTGGGCAGCAGTGGACCTCCTCGTTCCGGCATGAAAGCACCAGCTAGAACTCGTGTATCACAGGAAGTTCCAGGCAGGAAGGTAAAGAAATGTTGCTTCTACCATTTGCCACATTTGGACTTTTTCCAAGGACAAGTGTCAAAAGCCATAGTTAGTGTTTTGAGGGAGAGAGCAGAACTGGCCAGCAGCGCCTAGAGACGTCTTTGAAGGAAACTTTCCTTTTTCTCTTGCTGGTCTCCTACAGTTTTACAGCTGAGCTTTTGAGGTTTGGAAAATTCAAGATGTTTGTTTCATAAGGAAGTGGGTAGACAGCAAGCACCAGCCAAGTTAAGACCTAGACTAAAATCGTGAAGTTAGAAGAATTTGAACATTTTTGGTGCCATGCAGAGTGAATGTTTAGCATGTATAATCTCTATGACTTTAAGGAATGAGTTGACATTTTCCTATTGAATTTTAAGTAAATGGTGAGATTCAATTTTCTTTAGAGTTGACTCCCAAGACTACACTTGAAGAATTGGTTCAAAACTATCTAAAAGCAAATATTCAACATTCTCAAAACTGACACCCCCACTTAGGCCTATTAACATTAAATAGTGCTGTCATCTGCCAAATGCACTTAAATTGGTGCAAAGTGAACTTGCACACTATTGGCAACTAACTATAATTTACTTCAGCCCTCATTCGCGCGCTCTCTCTCTCTCTCTTTCTGTCTCTGAACACAGACTTCTCTGGAATAGTACCCCTTTGCTAATTGGATCTAGTTGGTATGGAAAAAGCCAGTGGAAAACCTTATCTTTAACAAGCTCCCAGATGGTGCCCAGATTTGGAAACTCTAAAGAGCAGTGGTGACCTTTTAGGAAAGCTTCTGTAATAGTTTGAATGAGTTACAGAACATTCCACTCCATCAAATGACACTATAAACAAATCACTTCAAGAGAGGTTTGACTTTGTGTGACACAGATGGACCCAAGCTTTCATGCTGTGCACTGAGATAGAAACTCAACCCGAAGCTCCAGTGTTGGATGGAGCAATGTGCCCTGACACTCAAAGCTTATTAAAGGGTAAGGGTGATCTCCATGGTAAGTTCTTGGAAATTATAACCCCTAGTAGGTACAACAATTAAAAAGTGATCATGAATATTTTTAAGTATTATAATATTCCTCGTGAACAATTTTTAAGTACTATTAGCTTAAAAGGAGAGAAAGTGAGTTCTGAAAATGCAGTTGCCCCATCCAATGACTGAACTTGATAACTAAATTTCAGTTCTTCTCAATGAACCAATACAGCATTACTTGTGCAAAGGAAATATATGTTGTATAAACATAGAAAGACAATGATGACATGTAGGTATTTTCTTTTGAAAATGTGCATTTAAATGAAATTAATCCTAGTTAATTTTCCAAAATGCATAAGAAAAGAAACAGGAGACAAAGAAGGCAGCAGCATGTCTGGGCCTTCCTAGGGTATAGCAAGCAATAAGCACCCCCTTCCATTCTGGGTGTCTGTGATCACATCCACATTTTGAGTTTTAAGCCTCTAGAGGGGTGTCTGTGAGCAGGAATTACTATCATTATTACTTTCATGGAGGCTCTTCAGTTAACTCATGATAGAAAACTAATTAACCACTTGGCATGGGAGGCAAGGGGAGATTACTCTCTTCATCAAGATCCAAGAGTTCTAGGGCAATTAATTACTTTCTCATGTACAAAATAAAAGACCTATCTCTGTCAGAGTCTGTGTTGAATATACATTGATAAGAAGAACAACTATAATCCAAGTGGAATGCTTCCTGAGCATATTAAGAGGGATCCAGGTCTCACTGGGCTGGTAACATAAGGAGATATAGAATGAGGTTGGTTAAGAGTGTGATTGTGAATAATGAGAATTTGTCTTCTGCTGCTAGGTTAGTGAGACCATGATTTTAATTCAATAGGGATTATTGAGCTTCCATAAGTGTAACAGAGCCTACAGGATCCTTTGGTTGGTTCTTTTGGGAAAGAGAATTTTCTAACAGAACTATAATGTTATGTGCCCCAACCTTCTTATTTGCAAACACACACACACACACACACACACACACACAGCAAGTAAAAGTATAAAGGTAGAGAGATGAGAATCTGGTTGATAGATAGATGGAAGGTGTCATCCTAAATATGATCTTCAGGGAAGCTGCAGATAAAGGATCCAGACTGATATCTGTAAGGAGGATCATTTGCATACTGAAACGGCATGGACACATGTCTAATCTTATCATGGAACTGCAGTATCATGGATATTTGGCTGGATTGCCTTTCATCAAATTTTGGTCCAACAGAGACCACAGGCTTCAGAATTTACCAAGAAGCTTGATAAAATGCAGATCCCTGGTTCCCACACCAGCCTTCCACTGAATCAGAATAGTGATAGGAATCTACATTTTCATCAGCCCTCCCAGGGATTCTAATCCATGTCATAATTTGAGAACCATTATTGGAGCTTTTGTTTTGGTAGACCAGTTGGCTCTAACAACATAACAAAAGTTTAGTTCCAATTTTTTGTTTATAGTTAAGGTTATTTATACTACTAAAGTAAAACCAATTATTCCAACCTTTTCTACTCAATTGGACATTTTGTTCCCATTTTCCAGGTATCTCCTTTTCCAATATTGAAGAATAACCACCATTCACTTGAATAAATTATTCCTTCTCTAATTCTTCTCTGTATCATTTCCTACAAAATGTTCCCTTCCCTTTCATCATCTTGTTCCATTGAATGTGGAATCTTGTTTCTTTACTTTTCTTCTACCCCTTAAAAAAATCTTCAACCTTTGATTATTTATTTATTCCAACAACAGCTCTTGAATAGGGTGAGACTCTTAACAGCTCTTCAAACATGCAATGGTCCCCTATTTTTCTTCAGAGATAGCAAATATAAGTGACCTACTCTGACCTAAAGCTCTGATGTTGAAACCTTCACTCAAATATATTTTTTTATTTAAAGCAATGATAACAATTGTATTTTAAGCTTATCTAATGATTTCTTGGCAATTTTACTGGTCTCAATAAGAACAACATATTTGAAGTCTGTTTTCTCAGGCCCTTTGCAGCCGTGTAATGTTTAGGAAATTAAAAGGAGTCTGTATTTTAAATGTTTCTAAGCAATTTTTGTGGTATGTTGTCTAATGGTGTTGTGGTGTGTGTGTATATGTCTGTGTGTGTGTGTTTCACTAAAACATTTGAGGTGACCAATTGCATTTCATTCTGCCTGTGAAATGTTAGTTTATTTAATAAACAAAATACCAAAATGGATGAAATAAAAAATAATTGGTGGTTTTATGTCAATTTAGTTTGGGGTATTCTTTTTTAAAACAGACGGGAGTAGAAATTTGCATTTAAGAATTTCATTGAGGAAAATTGGCAAGAGAGGCTGGTGCTGGCTTGCACTTTGTCACAAGAACCAATTGTGCTCATCTCTTTCCAATTCTGTATTCGATGACATCACATTGGTAGCAAAAAATTGGCCATGCTGCAAATATTTACACCATGGAAAATGGCAAACACTACAAATTAGGGATCTGGAAATCCAGCTGTTAAACATTTACCAGCACACCACCGAGACCACATGCAATGGTACAATATCTAGGTTGGAGAAAGTGAACAGGGTTGGAAAGGGAGAAGTCGAACTGTGATTCCCTAACAAAGGCCTTAGTCAATTCCATGGGGAGCTATGCAACTGACATGGTCTTTGAGAGTTATTGCAAAATGCGGGAGCCAGGGCTTTACGTTCTCCCCACCACCAACTAGTCGTGGATGCAAGTTAGGTGTGGGGAAGGGCATTACCTTGGGCAAGACTATTCAGCTGAAGGCAATTCTTGTGGAGGAACTCAGCTTTGAGCTGACAGCAGCCCAACTGCTTAGAAATAAAAAATTATTTCTAGTCCATCCACTTAAAAAATTTTATAATGGAAAATTTTAAACATACAGTAACGTAGAGAATAGTATAATGAACCAACATGCATCTATCACCAGCTTCAAATATTATCAATTCATAGCCAGTGTTTTTCATCTATTTCTCTGCCCATTTACTCCCATTTCCACCAGATAACTTGGAAGCAAACCCCAGATATCATAAGATTTTATCTGTAGATATTTCACTGAATCTCTCTGAAAAGTAGAGATTTCTTAACTTGTTTCTTAATTTGTTTCAACTTCATTACAAGTCTTCAGAAAAACAAAGGTATCGAAATGAGTCAAATGTTAATCTTTTCTTTCTCTATTTTATACCCTGTGTACAAATGTCATGGATTAAGACTAAGAATTCTTTCTAAAGTAGGTATGTGGTGTCTTAAAAAATAACAAATCAATCATTTTTGGACACTTATTATGTGCCATACACTGTGCTAAGAACTCTGACGTACACTGTCCTCTGGAGGCTCTCGGAGCAATAAATAACAGTCACGTTGGGAGGCACAGTGTCGAAGCTGTCATGGGGTTAGCAGAGTGTAACGAGGACTTCCCAGGCTCTGGCGGGAGGCTGCTTTTTTCTGAGAATGCTCTCTCTCTCCCTCATCAAAGCCAATTTCTTAAAAAGCTATTTCAGCAAAACGTTATATATTAGCATGGATAATTCAAGCAGGAATGAGAGAACACGTGAAACCAGTTTCCCAGTTTGGAAAGTCAGGTGCCTGTGACAGTTAGGGTTTAAGGTAGCACTTGTCACTCTCAGTCTCACTGCATCCCTTCAAAGGAGTGGCTACAATCTGATGGTTGCCAGCCAGCTGCTCTGAAAAGTTATCACAGATACAAATTAATAAAATATCCAACTTCAGGAGGTCAGAGTAGAAGCAAGAAGGGATTTTTTTTTTTTTTTTTCTGTGGCATGAAACAGTCCTCCCTTTTATTCAGCCCAGATGCTAATTTTTATATCAAAAATATTGATTGAGGGAGCTAGTGATTTTGGCTCGCCCCCAAGTTTATCCAGGATCTTTCTTAATTAGGTTTGGGTCGGCTGCACTGCCCACGGCCAGGGTGAGGTCTGGCTCCAATCACCACATCGCGCTCTCTACTTCATCACCGTCCAAGGAACAAGGCAAGGAAATTGCTGCTTCTTTGTTTCCCCAGCCCATAAGTAGCTTTCTTTCCAGATTTGAAGCATGCATGGAGCAAATGTGTAAGGAAGACCGAAAGGAGGGTAATGGCTTCACTGTGATGAGATCAACCCAGCTTCAACCTGACCGTGATCCCAGCATGAATGGGCTCTGTGTGAAAAATGAATGGGTAGCAATGTGAGATCATGGAAAAAGGTCTTGGCGTCTTCTGAATGAAAATTTTTCACCGGTCTGATACAGCCAATCACTCTGTGAGTTTTCTAAAAGGAAAAAATAATCTCTTTCGCCAATCATACATGATTTTCCCATAATGTATCTATTTTATAAATAGCTATAGTTAAATCATGCAACTATTTTAATAATGTCCATACCAACTGCATATACTTTATACCAGTCTTTTAAAAAAATCTCTGCACACATAAGGCACCAATAAATTATGGTCACAAATTATAGACACCTATGACAACATGGGTTTTCTTTTATATATAAAATAGTGTGTTATTATTTAAAAATATAATTTAGTTGCCCTAAAACATTTTCAACTAAATATTTATGAAAAGTTTTTAACTCAAAAAAAACTGAGATGAAATTCAAAATATGTATTTGTAAGATATTTTATTAATAAGTGAACTCTGGATCAACCAAATGTTAATGATTTCCTATATAGAGAAGTCTATAAGTTCTATGGATAGTCAATGTTACAGGCGCATTATATTAAAAAAATAAAATATTTTATTAAAATGGGTTTATTTCTAATGAGGTTAACACTAACTCTTTTAAAAATTACATTTTTGACTGTGCATTTATTATTTATAATTGCCAAGTAGAGCAGAAACAAGCCAGCTATTCAAACTAATCACCATAGCTCTCGATTGTGAGTAAGAAAGGAAGAACAGAAATTACCAGGTATTAGAGGAAACCCAGCAACACCAAAATGAGTGGCCAAGAGGAGAAAATAGAAAAACTTTCATGGAAAAGATAACTT